TATTCTCAAGTCACGGGCTGAAAGAAATGGAAGTTACACATAAAATGTTAAATGAAAACAGTAAATAGTATACAAACAGAAATAAACAAGGAAATCGAAATGCATACATTTACTTAATACTTACTTCAGTCATTTCTCTCTCTCTCTCTCAAGCGTTAAATTTGTTGTACAATAAAAACGGGTATTATAATCCAATTCATTTCAACATTTAAAAAAATGAATTAGTAACAGTAAATATATAAACGAAGAAAATTGGATGAAATGCCTTACATCAATAAGTTTCAGTTAATTTAGATACAGTATTGAGACATTTACTAACATTTGTAGAAGCCAAAATATGTTTTAGAGTATATCAATAGTTCATTTGTTCTTTTTTTTTCTTTGAGAAAATCCATATTGGGCTATCCGCTGTGTCCACTACGATGAAGGAAACACTGGATTTTGGCACTGCAAGTTCGTAAACTTACTGCTGATCCCCCCCCCCCCCCCGAAGGACTATGAATAGATAGAAAATTTCCCCAAAACAAATAAAATGTACAGAAACCAAAATAACAAGTATCGACAAAATGCTAAATATTATAACACAAGTTTGCTGATTTACAGGAGGTAATATCTATGGCAACTGAAATGTTTATTATCAACAAAGCCTTAAATATAATTGTAGTTATAATACAAGTAATTGATTGTATTAACACGTCATATGCGGCGGATTTTGAGTTTGGCACGTTTCGACAATTGCTGAAAAGTCTTCGTAGCATAGGTTTTGTTTACCAATTATTAATGAATATGTAATGTTGTAAACTTCTAATACACCCCCCCCCTTTGCTTGCAATGTAACATATTATCTTCATAATCACACCGCAGTGTGTAGGTAACTGGTCTACTGACAGGACAATTTAATGTTGACAGTGCGGTAGTGCTATCTGATGACGTTCCTCGTGAACATGCTCTGGCAATAAACGATGATGTTTCCTCTGGCACCGCACTGACATTTTGAAAAAGGGTTCCTCACAATGACATTTAGTATAATATAGCATTTTGAACTGATATATACTACGTAAGTGAAATGTCAGCATCAACACACTTCTGAACGTTAAAATAAGTTAAAATTATATTTCATTGTCATACAGAATAGAAATTAAAAACCGTTTGCTAAACTACCCCTCTATCAAAATCGATCACTCATCACTGTATACTGTTACACATATTACATAGCTTCGGTTAACAAATTATTATGGCTCTATTAAATCAAGCATACAGATATAATTATCGCTTAAACTTAATAAAGTTACACTTGGCCTGGTATTTGAATCCTCTTCGAGATATAAGGAAAAAGGGGTTGGCAATGATAGGGCCTTTGATTTAGAGTCTGGTGAACATGTCGACAAGGGGGGGTGGGGGATCAGCATCACTGCTAAAGCGCTTAAGAGACCTCTTAATTAAAGGGTAAAATTCATAGTCAACATTTGCAGGGGATGTCAAACTTTAGCTTTATTCCCAAATTAAATATCCCATTGTTGAAGCCTGAAGGTGCACGTATTTTGATATTACTTTTTTCAAATATTAGTGTTTTTTTCTTCCACAAAAATAGATCCAATTTGCAAAATTTAATTGAGGAAAATCAAGACATTTGTACGTTTTACAAATGTTTCTTTTATTACGGCCATACATTCGCTGGTAAAGGCTTTATAAATGAAATATTTTTGAAACATACATTTGGCTTTGTTTTCCTCAATTCTGTAATTATGGAATTTCTCCAAGTTCCGACAGTTCCAAGTATTAATTATATTACATTTGCCTGTATTTATAGTTCTCAAATGTCAATTCTCATAAAACAAATGGTCAATGTACATCGAGCAAGCGGACCTAAAATTCTCCTTTGAGTTTTGACATAT